ACTGGAAATGACCACTTAACAACCCGCCCAAACCTGGGACTGCCACTAACACTTTGCCCCTCAAGGGGCTGAAAAACCCCCCTGGCCCACTAAACACTGCCCAAAAACCCGGGCCCGCCACTAACACTTGGCTCCCCAAACTGGGACTGCCACTAACACTTGGCCCCTCAAACCCGGGACTGCCCCAAAACCTTTTCACCCTCAAACGGGACTGCCCCCCTAACACTGCCCTCAAATGGGACGGCCCAAAACCCTTTAAATCCCCTCAAACTGGGACGGCCACTTAAAAGGGTTTCCCTCAAACCCGGCCCGCCACTCAAAACTGGGCACCCTCAAACTGGTACTCCCCTAAAAACCACTGCCCTCAAACTGGGAGACCCCAACCTTACACCCTCAAACTGAGGACTGACCACTCAACACTTTGCCCCCAAACTAGACTGCCAACCAACACTGCCCTCAACCCGGGTACTGCCAAAAAACCCCACGCCCCTCAAACTGGGACGACCCCAAAATTTACTGCCCCAAACGGGACGACCCCAAAACCCACTGCCTCAAACTGGGGCTGCCACATCAACACTGGGTTCCCTCAAACCCCGGGACTGACCCAACCTTACACCCTCAAACTGGAGCCGCCACCCACAAAATGCCCCCAAACGGGACGCCACTAAACGGGGGTTTCCCCTCCCCCAAGGACTGACCAAATAACCAACCCCAAAAACTTTTTGGCCCCTCAAACTGGGACGCCAAATCAAAAACTCCCCCAAACTGGGGACTGACCACCTCAAAAATGCCCTAAATGGGACTGACCACCTAACACTGCTCAAAATGGGACTGCCACCCTTACACTGCTTCAAATGACACTACCACCTAAACCACGCCTCAAATGGGACTGCCACCTTAACACGCTTTAAGATTGAGGCACTGACCACCTTAACACTGCCTTTTAAGATGAGGACTGACCACCTTAAAAAACCTGCTTAAATTTGGGGACGACCCCTTAAAACTGCTTTAAGAAGAGGCACGACCACCTTAAAAACTGCTTTAAGATTTTAGGCACTGCCACCTTAACACTGTTTTAAATGAGGGACTGGCCACCTTCACGTTAAGATTTAGGCCTGCCACCTTACACTGCTCAAGATGAGGGACGGCCACCCTTAAAAACTGCTCAAGATGAGGCACGCCACCTTAACACTGGGTCAAAACGAGGCCTGGCCACCTTAAAACTGCCTCAAATGAGGCACTGACCACCAACCTGCTCAAACTGGGCACCACCACCTTCCCTGCCTCAAGACTGAGGGACTGCCACCTTAAAATGCCCAAATGAGGGACTGGCCACCTTAAAACTGCCCAAGACTGAGGCACTGCCACCTTACACTGCCCCAAAGACTGAGCACTCCACCTTACCTGCCAAGATGAGGCACGACCACCTTTCACTGCCTCAAGATGAGGGACGGCCACCTTAAAAACGCCTCAAGACTGAGCACTGGGCCCCCTTACACTGCCCCAAACTGAGGCACTGGGCCCCCTTAACACGCCCCAAGACGAGGCACTGCCACCCTTAAAAACTGCTCAAGACTGAGCAAATGGCCACCTTAAAAACGGGCCCCAAACTGAGGCACTGGGCCACCCTTACACTGCCTCAAGACTGAGCACGCCACCTTAACATGCCCCAAGACTGAGGGACTGGCCACCTTCCACTCCTCAAGACGAGGCACTGGCCACCTTAAAAACCTCCTCAAGACTGAGGGACGCCCCCTTCACACTGCCCAAACTGAGGGACTGCCACCTTAACTGCCTCAAACTGGGCACTGGGCCACCTTACACTGCCCCAAACTGAGCACTGCCACCTTAACCTGCCCAAACTGAGGCCTGCCACCTTCACACGTCAAAACTGAGCACTGACCACCTTAAAACTGCCCAAAACTGGGCACTGGGCCCCCTTAAAACTGCCCCCAAGACTGAGGCACGCCACCTTAAAACGCCCAAACTGAGGCACTGGCCCCCTTACCGCCCAAGACTGAGGGACTGACCACCTTACACGCCTCAGACGAGGCATGCCCCCTTACACTGCCCAAGACTGAGGGAGGCCACCTTAAAACTGTCAAAAACGGGGGCACTGCCACCTTACACTGCCTCAAACTGAGGCACTGCCCCCTTACACGCCTCAAGACTGGGCACTGACCACCTTAAACTACACTGCCCCCCAAGAAAATGAGGCCTGGCCACCTTTACAAGCCCAAGACTGAGGCACTGACCACCTTAAAACCTGCCTCAAACAGGCACGCCACCTTACACGCCCCAAGACTGAGGGGCCCCCCAAAAATTAAAAAACAGCCACCTTACACTGCCCCAAGAGGGGGCACTGGCCACCTAAAACGCCTCAAAAATGAGGCACGCCACCTTACACTGGCCTAAGACGGGCACTCCACCTTTCAACTGCCTCAAGACTAGGCCTGACCACCTACACGCCCCCAGATGGGCACTGGGCCCCCTTAAACTGCCTCAAGATAACTCCCCCTTTTCAACCTCAAAATGGGCCTGGCCCCTTTCCTCAACTGGGCCCGACCCAAAAACGCTAAGAAGACGGAAAAAGGCCTAAGACAGGAACGGCCCCCCCTTAACAGTAAACAACACTGGTTAAACCCCCCTAAGTGACACTAAAAAACCCCTAAGAAGAGGTAAATTTTAATTAAGTAGGAAGCCAATAACTGTCAAGAGGAGTGGCCCCCACCTTTGAGGGGCCAAAACAAAGCCCCGCGGCACTGACCACCTCCGGGGTCAAGCTGACAAAGGCCCCTTAAAATGCCCGCTGGGCACGGCCACCCTTACACCCCGTGGGAACGGACTTTAACCGTTTAAATGAGGACTGAACCCCCTTCCCCGCCCCAAATGGGGTGCCCCCCAAAGTAAACCAGGGCCGCCCCTTCCCCTTGGGGATAATTCAACTTTCCCTCGCTTTTGGATGAAATTCCTGGGATGGGCCTGGACCTTTTCCCCGTTAAGATGGGGGACCCCTTCCTCCCTCAAAATGAGACGATTTAATGCCCCAAACGGGCCGAAAATTTTGCCCAAAAATGACATAAAATCCCTGCTTAAACTGACACTCCCCTTAAATGGAAAAACTAGGTGGCCATTACACCCTAAAAGAGACGAATTTAAAAAGTCAATGGGCATCCCCTTCAAGGGGAAAAAGGTTGGTTAGGGTAGATTAGGATTTTTATAGCTTAGGCTAAATTAGGCTAATTTAGGTTAGATTAGGTCAGGCTAGGTTAGGTTAGGTCAGGTTAGGTTAGATTAGGTTAGGTTAGGTTAGATTAGTCTAGGTTAGGTTAGGTCATGTTAGGTTGAATTGGGTAAAGTTAATTTAAATTAGGTTAAGTTAGGTTAGGTTAGATTAATCTAATTTAGGTTAGATTAGGTCAGGTTAGGTTAGATTAGGCTAGGTTAGGACAAGTTAGGTTAGGTTAGGTTAGGCTCGGTTAGGTTAGGTTCGGTTAGGTTAGGCTCGGCTAGGTTAGATTAGGCTAGGTTAGGTTAGGTCAGGTTATGTTAAATTAGGTTAAGTTAGGTTAGATTAGGTTAAGTTAGGTTAGGTTATGTTAGGTTAGTATAGTTAGGTTACATAGACCTATAAAAGAGAACATAATCCAAGTATTACTGAGTAATAAGCTACTAAGAAGTAACTATACATTACCCAGTAGTAAACTACTCAAAAGTAATTATATTAGCTAGTAGTAACTACTAAGAAGTAAGTGTATATATGAGTGTGTGGTTGTTGTGAGTTATGACTGTATAACTACACTCAGTGCTGGGAATTAATTACTGAGGTAATGATAAGTTAGTGAGAGAGATAATCTCAGTAAGTTATAAGCTGAAGTTTGACTTACTCTACGCCCTTCTTATATAATTATGTGATCATTAACTATAATTATGCAGGATAGAATGCGCAGTAATTTAGTTAGCACATAAAGGTAACAAATGGAGATATTAAGGAAAAAATAAGTGTTAGCATGTCTGGCTCAGCCACCCACACTGGTTTACCGCTTCACATAAACAATAATTAGAGAGAAATTAATAACTTTAATTACCATGAATGGTACAGATTTATAAATTATAACCTGTTTTAAGAATTTGAGCAGAATAAACCCACACTGAGAAGAAAACCAGGAAAGAAAGTTTGTATATATTTACGTGCAGGTGAAGCTTATAGATCTTTGTGTTTACACTCAAGCGCGACCTGCAAGTGCTTTCCCGAATTTTGTTTTCTCCTTTCCGATTTTATGTTTCACATAACTCGGGAACCCCATGTCAAATCAGATTCAATTTTTTCATTGCATGTGTCCGGCAACAATAGCTAGCTGCCGACATGATGCTTTAAACCACTCAGTTACAGATGCCTTATAATGTTAGGTAGCCTGGTTGAGTGGAAGCCATGTTTCTCTCTAGCCCCGGACACACCAGTCACTCTCAAACATTGTCACCAGCTGTTTTATACTCTTCTATGTTCTGACCTCACCAGCGGTACTATACTCGGTGCAACTCCCAGAAACAAGTGCTTAGATACACTCGTCGACAGCAGCCGATTTGGGTTCGAATCCTGCTGGCTGGCATATATATACCTGGAGTTTACCTGGAGAGAGTTCCGGGGGTCAACGCCCCCGCGGCCCGGTCTGAGACCAGGCCTCCTGGTGGATCAGAGCCTGATCAACCAGGCTGTTGCTGCTGGCTGCACGCAAACCAACATACAGCCACAGCCCGGCTGATATATAATATATATATATAATATATATATATATATATATATATATATATATATAATATATAAGTATAATAGAAAATCATATGTAAGCACAAATACACATAATAATAACAATAAATAATAATAATAATAAATTTATTTTGACATGGTACATGGTTGTACAAAGGAATATAATAGTGTAGTGTTAATAACTCTCAGGTAGTGGATCGTCTTTAAACCTGTGTGTGGTGTTATGTCTCAGGTTCACGGACGTGGGCTGAAGATTGTTGTGGTGGGGAGTCGGACCTGCCAGATGACATGCCCACCAACCCCGCCCACCCACTCTACACCGCCCATACGCCCCGCTCTGCCGCCCCCAACACCACCAGCTCCCGCTCTTCCGCCACTCTTGATGCTGACATTCAGGAACTGCTCGCCAGGAACTCTAAGGTAACTCACTGCATATTTGTGACAATGCATTTGAGCGCCAGGAGATTAGCAGACAGTTCAGTTTGAAGGATAGAAGTTTTTAAGAAGAGTAACATTGGCAATAATAATAATAGTAATAGTAAAGATGTAAGTGAAACAACATATATTGTCTGTTTCACTATGTGGCATTGTCATTATGTCACTTTTAGAAGTGCCATGTTACTTTTAAGATGTCATGTTAGTGATTAATATGTCACAGTATAAGAGATGTACCTTGTTGTTTTCAGTGTGCGGGTGGTGTACTAGTGCTGCTGGTGGGCGTGGTGGTGGGGGCGTGGGTGTTAGGGTCCTGGGGTGCCTCGTGGGCATGGCTTATGGTGAGTGTGGGCGTGACCTGGGCGCTGGTGTCAGGAGCCTTGCAGCGAGCAGCAGAGGATGCTACCAGGTACCTCCCTCCCCCCCCCCCCTCTCTCTCTCTCTCTCTTCGCAGATTCTCTACTTCATGACCATATAGGCCTCCGCCTCGTCTCTATCTCTTAATGTTGTTCTTCCTCGTGATAAATAACCTGGAGTGTAACATTGCCTCCTGTCCCTGAGAACGGCCACTGTACTTCCCACCTCCATCGTTCATCTCCATCTGACTGCTGTCCCTGAATCCCTTTATAACTGTCATCTTGCTTACACTCTTACAGCACCTCAGACATAAAACTACTTGTTCTTATTCACTTTGATCTAACACGCTCACACAAACCTCCTTTGTCCTCTTCCTCCCTCCAGTCTCCCCTTACGTGAACCCTACCCACTTCTTCCATCCACCTCACCTTCCCACCATCCTGGTCATCCTATCCTGCTTCATTCTCTAAATGTCCAAACCACATCAACAACCCCTCCTTGGCCCTTTAATTTACACATTTGGTAACAACACTATTGTCTAAATTTTACACTCCGAATTCTCCGTATACTATTCACCTCACATAAGACTTTCATATATGACATCTCTCCAGCCCCCAGCCTCCAGCCTCCAGCCTCCAGCCGCCTCCTCCTCCTCCTCCTCCTCCTCCTCCTTCTCCTCCTCCTCCTCCTCCTCCTCCTCCTCCTCCTCCTCCTCCTCCTCCTCCTTCTCCTCCTCCTCCTCCTCCTCCTCCTTCTCCTCCTCCTCCTCCTCCTCCTCCTCCTCCTCCTCCTCCATACAGCTTTAAAGTCCAGGCCTCACACGCTTACTAAACTATTCATACTATTCATACCATTATGGTACAGTCCTTTTTTGCTGTGTGTGTGTGTGTGTGTGTGTGTGTGTGTGTGTGTGTGTGTGTGTGTGTGTGTGTGTATAATTGTTGTGGTTTACTTGTTAAGGTACGAGTCTCTACGTCTACATCGTCGTCGAGCGCTACAGGCAGACGAGACTTGTGAGTGGCTTAACTTGTTGGTCAACCGCTGGTGGGTCTTCTCCTCTGCTTCTATCTTCGCCAGGGTCAAGGCTGCTCTCGACCCTAGGCTCAATGATGCCAAGCCCGCCTTCCTAGGTGAGTTTCTATCCGCTTGTCACCAACCCAGACATTCCTAGGTGAACATTAAAATGGTATAAAATACCGACAGGTTGTTAGGTAAGACACATATGCAACAGTTAGGTATCTTTATATCGAAACGTTTCGCCTACACAGTAGGCTTCTTCAGTCGAGTACAGAAAAGTTGATAGAAGCAGAAGAGACTTGAAGACGATGTAATCAGTCCATCACCCTTTAATGGTGATGGACTGATTACATCGTCTTCAAGTCTCTTCTGCTTCTATCAACTTTTCTGTACTCGACTGAAGAAGCCTACTGTGTAGGCGAAACGTTTCGATATAAAGATACCTAACTGTTGCATATGTGTCTTACCTAACATTCCTAGGTGAGTTACTAGCTGTTTCTCACCAACTCTACTATTCCTAGGTGCGTTACTAGCTAGTCAGTTGTGCCGCTTGAGCGGCTAGTTTATTGTGCATCCGCAGCTCATCCTGTGAGCGGTAGCGCAAAAAAAAAAAAGATTACAGAGGTCACAATGGGTCTTTGTCAGAGCTCACTGACCATTGTTACATAACTAGAGAGTTTAGTTTAATATGTTTATTATGCACCCCATACCCATCCTGTGGGCGGTAGTCAAAAGGTTACAGAGGTACATAATTGGTCCAGGGACTGGACTCCAAAGTTTTGATAGCTGAGCAAGTTACAGAGGTAATAAATTCACAATTTACAAAGGTAATGAACTCACAATTTACAAAGGTAATGAACTCCAGGTAGGTCTAGTCACAATCATGACAAGTTACAAAGGTATTTACAGATTACAGAGGTACGTAATGGGTCCAGGGACTGGGCTCCCAAAGTTGTGATGGCTGAACTAGGCACAAGGTAATGAACTCACAAGTTACAAAGGTAATGAATCCTGTAAGAATGGTTACTTACGTTTATACATGGCTACAAATATTAGTCAATTCATATTTTACAATTACTTCATATAATTGTTGTACACGGTACAGTAACGAATATCACTAAAAAATAATAAAAAAATGATCATAGCTGGGTTGCAATTTCCATGAAGACAGTTTGTTCATCTAGTCGATGCAAAATATGGTTACATCCTCAATATTTCACATATCTTATCATTAACAATGAAATATTTTGCTATAGCTTGTAAGGTTTTCGTGGAGGCGTCTCTGAAAGGTTAAATGTTTGGACACTAAGATATAATGGTCCAGTTTATGGCCTGTCTCTGTCCACACACTTTGTATTTTATGTCATTAACATGTCATACAAACTGTACTGCCAGAGTTGCTTATAGCCTTGCCTTAGTCTAACAGTAACACCATCTTGCAATCTACTGACCTTGTTACTGTCTCCAGAGATATGTTTGATACATTTTATTATGATGGATAATGAATCTGTTAGTTCCTATCTGTACTGTTCTGCTTTCCTTAAGCTCGTTTGCTAGTTTCTTTCTGACAACCCAGTCATTCTAGGTAAGTCTCTAGCTGTTTGTGACCAACCCCGTCATTCTAGGTTGTCTAGGTATTTATGAACAATAAAGCTATTTCTTGGCGAGTTACTAGCTGTTTGTGACCAAGCCAGCCATTCCTAGATGAGGTACTACTTACCTCTGACTAAGCCAGGTATTCCTAAGTGGGTTAGCAGACTTGCTGGATGGTTATAGACAGGCATAAGACAGGTGGAAGAGTGTATAACACTCATTTGCATATACCAACGCCTTTATCAATATTTATAAGAATTTAATTATTAATGATGTAAGTGTTATAAAGCGCATGGGAGATGGGAAGGAAATAAAATTTGATCCGAGGAAGGAGAGAATAGTTTCATTTTCTTGGAACAAGAGCTTTTCACCAGCAGGAAGGCCTTCACTCTAAGAGAGCAATCTTTGTGTCCCGACAGAAGCCATCTGTCTGAAGCAGCTGAGTCTTGGAGAGCGCACGCCCGTGCTACGCAGCGTCAGGGCGTGGGATATCTCCAGCACAGCCACGGGCGTGGAGGGCGTGCCACGCCGTCCACTCTGTCCATCACGCCCACCCCCAGGACTCGCCCACGCCCCCACCCACACCCTTGCCCTCATGTGCGATCTAGCACTCGACTCTGATTCATTTTCTGCCGTGTTGGCTGCCAGGATAGGTGGCAAGGGGTGAGTCTGCCGTGTTGGCTGCCAGGATAGGTGGCAAGGGGTGAGTCTGCCGTGTTGGCTGCCAGGATAGGTGGCAAGGGGTGAGTCTGCCGTGTTGGCTGCCAGGATAGGTGGCAAGGGTGAGTCTGCCGTGTTGGCTGCCAGGATAGGTGGCAAGGGGTGAGTCTGCCGTGTTGGCTGCCAGGATAGGTGGCAAGGGGTGAGTCTGCCGTGTTGGCTGCCAGGATAGGTGGCAAGGGGTGAGTCTGCCGTGTTGGCTGCCAGGATAGGTGGCAAGGGGTGAGTCTGCCGTGTTGGCTGCCAGGATAGGTGGCAAGGGGTGAGTCTGTGTTGGCTGCCAGGATAGGTGGCAAGGGGTGAGTCTGCCGTGTTGGCTGCCAGGATAGGTGGCAAGGGGTGAGTCTGCCGTGCTAGTTACCAGGAGAGGTAGCAAGGGGTGAGTCTGCCGTGTTGGCTGCCAGGATAGATGGCAAGGGGTGAGTCTGCCGTGCTAGTTACCAGGAGAGGTAGCAAGGGGTGAGTCTGCCGTGTTGGCTGCCAGGATAGATGGCAAGGGGTGAGTCTGCCGTGCTAGCTACCAGGATAGGTGGCAAGGGGTGAGTCTGCCGTGCTAGTTACCAGGATAGGTAGCAAGGGTGAGTCTGCCGTGTTGGCTGCCAGGATAGATGGCAAGGGGTGAGTCTGCCGTGCTAGCTACCAGGATAGGTGGCAAGGGGTGAGTCTGCCGTGCTAGTTACCAGGAGAGGTAGCAAGGGGTGAGTCTGCCGTGTTGGCTGCCAGGATAGGTGGCAAGGGGTGAGTCTGCCGTGTTGGCTGCCAGGATAGGTGGCAAGGGGTGAGTCTGCCGTGTTGGCTGCCAGGATAGGTGGCAAGGGGTGAGTCTGCCGTGCTAGCTACCAGAATAGGTGGCAAGGGGTGAGTCTGCCGTGCTAGTTACCAGGAGAGGTAGCAAGGGGTGAGTCTGCCGTGTTGGCTGCCAGGATAGGTGGCAAGGGGTGAGTCTGCCGTGTTGGCTGCCAGGATAGGTGGCAAGGGGTGAGTCTGCCGTGCTAGTTACCAGGATAGATGGCAAGGGGTGAGTCTGCCGTGCTAGTTACCAGGAGAGGTAGCAAGGGGTGAGTCTGCCGTGCTAGCTACCAGGATAGATGGCAAGGGGTGAGTCTACCGTGCTAGTTACCAGGATAGATGGCAAGGGGTGAGTCTGCCGTGCTAGCTACCAGGATAGATAGCAAGGGGTGAGTCTGCCGTGCTAGCTACCAAGATAGATGGCAAAGGGTGAGTCTGCCGCGCTAGCTACTAGGATACATAGCAAGGGGTGAGTCTGCCGTGCTAGCTACCAAGATACATAGCAAGGGGTGAGTCAGCCGTGCTAGCTACCAGGATAGATGGCAAGGGGTGATTCTGTCGTGCTAGCTACCAGGATACATAGCAAGGGGTGATTCTGTCGTGCTAGCTACCAGGATAGATGGCAAAGGGTGAGTGCCGTGCTAGCTACCAGGATAGATGGCAAAGGGTGAGTCTGTCGTGCTAGTTACCAGGAGAGGTAGCAAGGGGTGAGTCTGCCGTGCTAGCTACCAGGATAGATGGCAAGGGGTGAGTCTGCCGTGCTAGTTACCAGGATAGATGGCAAATGGTGAGTCTGCCGTGCTAGCTACCAGGATAGATGGCAAAGGGTGAGTCTGCCGTGCTAGCTACCAAGATACATAGCAAGGGGTGAGTCAGCCGTGCTAGCTACCAGGATAGATGGCAAGGGGTGATTCTGTCGTGCTAGCTACCAGGATACATAGCAAGGGGTGATTCTGTCGTGCTAGCTACCAGGATAGATGGCAAAGTTTGAGTCTGCCGTGCTAGCTACCAGGATAGATGGCAAAGGGTGAGTCTGCCGTGCTAGTTACCAGAGAGGTAGCAAGGGTGAGTCTGCCGTGCTAGCTACCAGGATAGATGGCAAGGGGTGAGTCTGCCGTGCTAGTTACCAGGATAGATGGCAAATGGTGAGTCTGCCGTGCTAGCTACCAGGATAGATGGCAAAGGGTGAGTCTGCCGTGCTAGTTACCAGGAGAGGTAGCAAGGGGTGAGTCTGCCGTGCTAGCTACCAGGATAGATGGCAAGGGGTGAGTCTGCCGTGCTAGCTACCAGGATACATAGCAAGGGGTGAGTCAGCCGTGCTAGCTACCAGGATAGATGGCAAGGGGTGATTCTGTCGTGCTAGCTACCAGGATACATAGCAAGGGGTGATTCTGTCGTGCTAGCTACCAGGATAGGTGGCAAGGGGTGAGTCTGCCGTGCTAGTTACCAGGATAGATGGCAAGGGGTGAGTCTGCCGTGCTAGTTACCAGGAGAGGTAGCAAGGGGTGAGTCTGCCGTGCTAGCTACCAGGATAGATGGCAAGGGGTGAGTCTACCGTGCTAGTTACCAGGATAGATGGCAAGGGGTGAGTCTGCCGTGCTAGCTACCAGGATAGATAGCAAGGGGTGAGTCTGCCGTGCTAGCTACCAAGATAGATGGCAAAGGGTGAGTCTGCCGCGCTAGCTACTAGGATACATAGCAAGGGGTGAGTCTGCCGTGCTAGCTACCAAGATACATAGCAAGGGGTGAGTCAGCCGTGCTAGCTACCAGGATAGATGGCAAGGGGTGATTCTGTCGTGCTAGCTACCAGGATACATAGCAAGGGTGATTTCTGCGTGCTAGCTACCAGGATAGATGGCAAAGGGTGAGTGCCGTGCTAGCTACCAGGATAGATGGCAAAGGGTGAGTCTGTCGTGCTAGTTACCAGGAAGGTAGCAAGGGTGAGTCTGCCGTGCTAGCTACCAGGATAGATGGCAAGGGGTGAGTCTGCCGTGCTAGTTACCAGGATAGATGGCAAATGGTGAGTCTGCCGTGCTAGCTACCAGGATAGATGGCAAAGGGTGAGTCTGCCGTGCTAGCTACCAAGATACATAGCAAGGGGTGAGTCAGCCGTGCTAGCTACCAGGATAGATGGCAAGGGGTGATTCTGTCGTGCTAGCTACCAGGATACTTGCAAGGGTGATTCTGTCGTGCTAGCTACCAGGATAGATGGCAAAGTTTGAGTCTGCCGTGCTAGCTACCAGGATAGATGGCAAAGGGTGAGTCTGCCGTGCTAGTTACCAGGAGAGGTAGCAAGGGGTGAGTCTGCCGTGCTAGCTACCAGGATAGATGGCAAGGGGTGAGTCTGCCGTGCTAGTTACCAGGATAGATGGCAAATGGTGAGTCTGCCGTGCTAGCTACCAGGATAGATGGCAAAGGGTGAGTCTGCCGTGCTAGTTACCAGGAGAGGTAGCAAGGGGTGAGTCTGCCGTGCTAGCTACCAGGATAGATGGCAAGGGGTGAGTCTGCCGTGCTAGCTACCAGGATACATAGCAAGGGGTGAGTCAGCCGTGCTAGCTACCAGGATAGATGGCAAGGGGTGATTCTGTCGTGCTAGCTACCAGGATACATAGCAAGGGGTGATTCTGTCGTGCTAGCTACCAGGATAGATGGCAAAGGGTGAGTCTGCCGTGCTAGCTACCAGGATAGATGGCAAAGGGTGAGTCTGCCGTGCTAGTTACCAGGAGAGGTAGCAAGGGGTGAGTCTGCCGTGCTAGCTACCAGGATAGATGGCAAAGGGTGAGTCTGCCGTGCTAGTTACCAGGAGAGGTAGCAAGGGGTGAGTCTGCCGTGCTAGCTACCAGGATAGATGGCAAGGGGTGAGTCTACCGTGCTAGTTACCAGGATAGATGGCAAAAGGTGAGTCTGCCGTGCTAGCTACCAGGATAGATGGCAAAGGGTGAGTCTGCCGTGCTAGTTACCAGAAGGTAGCAAGGGTGAGTCTGCCGTGCTAGCTACCAGATAGATGGTAAGGGGCGAGTCTGCCGTGCTAGCTACCAGGATAGATGGCAAGGGGTGAGTCTGCCATGCTAGCTACCAGGATAGATGGCAAGGGGTGAGTCTGCCGTGCTAGCTACCAGGATAGATAGCAAGGGGTGAGTCTGCCGTGCTAGCTACCAGGATAGATGGCAAAGGGTGACTCTGCCGTGCTAGCTACCAGGATAGGTGGCATGGGGTGAGTCTGCCGTGCTAGCTACCAGGATAGATGGCAAAGGGTGAGTCTGCCTTGCTAGCTACCAGAATAGGTGGCAAGGGGTGAGTCTGCCGTGATGGCTGCCAGGATAGATGGCAAGGGGTGAGTCTGCCGTGATGGCTGCCAGGATAGGTGGCAAGGGGTGAGTCTGCCGTGATGGCTGCTAGGATAGGTGGCAAGGGGTGAGTCTGCCGTGATGGCTGCCAGGATAGGTGGCAAGGGGTGAGTCTGCCGTGATGGCTGCCAGGATAGGTGGCAAGGGGTGAGTCTGCCGTGATGGCTGCTAGGATAGGTGGCAAGGGGTGAGTCTGCCGTGATGGCTGCCAGGGTAGGTGGCAAGGGGTGAGTCTGCCGTGATGGCTGCTAGGATAGGTGGCAAGGGGTGAGTCTGCCGTGATGGCTGCCAGGATAGGTGGCAAGGGGTGAGTCTGCCGTGATGGCTGCTAGGATAGGTGGCAAGGGGTGAGTCTGCCGTGTTGGCTGCCAGGATAGGTGGCAAGGGGTGAGTCTGCCGTGTTGGCTGCCAGGATAGGTGGCAAGGGGTGAGTCTGCCGTGTTGGCTGCCAGGATAGGTGGCAAGGGTGAGTCTGCCGTGTTGGCTGCCAGGATAGGTGGCAAGGGGTAGTCTGCCGTGTTGGCTGCCAGATAGGTGGCAAGGGTGAGTCTGCCGTGTTGGCTGCCAGGATAGGTGGCAAGGGGTGATCCTGCCGTGATGGCTGCCAGGATAGGTGGCAAGGGGTGAGTCTGCCGTGATGGCTGCTAGGATAGGTGGCAAGGGGTGAGTCTGCCGTGTTGGCTGCCAGGATAGGTGGCAAGGGGTGAGTCTGCCGTGTTGGCTGCCAGGATAGGTGGCAAGGGGTGAGTCTGCCGTGTGGCTGCCAGATAGGTGGCAAGGGTGAGTCTGCCGTGTTGGCTGCCAGGA